AAATTCACACTGAAACACTTCTTGCCTGACTTTATGACTTTAATCGGACGCGTAACCTATCAACTGTTACGAGGAATTTTAATTTTCAAATATATATGATTCGATATCCCCATGAAGCCAATAGACACAATAGTTACAGTTGCTATTGTAGTTGTACTCTATATTTTGCTCCTTTTTATTGTATTTCACTTTCAAAATTCTTTCATTATAATTTGCCAACACTTTTCTATATAAAGCGTAACATTTTTTATTCGTTATTCGAACTAACGTATTATAATATCTGAACAGGTTGTAATCTGTGATAGATGTTTAAGACTTCAAAAAAATGACAAATAAAAATTTATATTGATTTGGAACTGATTTCTTATTGAGATAAATAAATTAAATATTTAGGGGCACGCAGAGCTGAAATTAACAAAAATGGAATTTCTAAAAGTCTTTGTAGGTTGCTTTCGTTTGGAAAAGGACAAAAAAAAAAAAAAATTTTTATAGTTATTTGATGGCTATGCAAATGGGTATGAGATGGGTATGCAAAAGTCACCGTATATCGCTTGTTTGATATTTTACTTGTTAGATTAAAATTTTCTTACTCGTATTTTCCTTTTATTCATTTACATTTCATGTTTAATGTATTATATTGGTCTAATGCCAGTTAGTTACGTTGCTTCGTTTTGTTTTTTTGCTTTTTTTCACACTTGTTTTTGCCTTTAGCCGCCCCTCACGGCCATTATCAAGGCTTTTGTTTTGCTTTGTCGTTGTGTTTTTGTTCTCGTAAAAGCAATATCGCGTCACAGCGCTGCTAGTAAGAAATTTATGAATGAATTTATTTTTATTTGTTCGGCTCTATTCATATCTGATCGGTATAATTCGAAAACGCATGTTAAAGATATATGAGGAGCGTTAAAAAAAAAAAAAAAAAAAAAAACTCAACTATCAGGCCTTACAGCGCACCTATCCATTTTTTACACAATTGAACCATCACCTACAAGAATAACCTAAGTATAGAGATGTTGTCGATTACTTTAGCTCACTTGTGCTATGAAAGCTGGTTCAATCTGTTTATGTCAATTCAAAGCACGACTTAGGAAATTCTGAACATTTCGGAGAACTTAATTTTGGCGGTAAACTTAACGTGTTTTTCTTTTCTTTTTTTTTTTTATATTTACGAATGAGAGAATGAATGAAATAGAGATAGCTCGTTACAAGGAGGGAGTTGTATTAAAACTGATAAAGTCTCAACAAAGCAAAAGACGATTTCAATTAAAAAGTTTTCAATAATGGCAGAATCAAAATTCAATTTTTTACATATAACCCGTTGAAAACGAAGTAAGTTGAGAGAAAATTTGTATCAAAAGCTACTATAAAGGCAAGATAAAATCGGTATAAGATACAAGCAATAGCCTCTGAACACTTTTTTATCTCAGACAACTTGTAAGTTAACTGGTTTTCAACCGAGTTTCGATATAAATTTTCCGTCAACTATCGTGGTTTTAAAGGGGTTATAAGGTACAAAATATAATATAATATGTACCCAAAGAGAAATGGGGCGTTTAAGTGCATGAAGCATAAAGAGTAGATAGCTGAATCAATAGATAAAACATCAGTAAAAAAAAAATTATTAGAAAGTTTAAAAATAAATATGTAGAACCTAAATATGTATATATATATATATATATATAGTTATTTTCTAAATATTTTACCTAAGTGCCTTTTTAAAATTATAATAAACACACTTTCACATTTTTTATCCACCTATCCTATGCTAAAGTAAACATTAAAAAAATAAAAATAAATTCTTTTCTCAAATAAAAAGAAATAAATAAACTGTTGAACAAAGCTTTTATACCATAAACGGTCACCATATAAAATGCTGTTACTAATTAGTTTAAGCAAATTTGTAACAATTAATATTCGTTTTCAATATCCGAACTTTTTGCGCCTTTTTTTTTTTTTAATTAAAATTAGTGAAATAACATGAAATCAAAACGTATAAAAAAGAAAAAAGGTTAAAAATGCAGTATAATATGTCAATTAATTTAAATAAACTGAAAGATAACTGAAATATTACTTAAAATAGTGACTTTGCAATTGATCTTCCATTATCCACTGTAGGCGATTCGTTCCAGGGTTTTTATACATCCAAAATTTCAATATTATTGAATATTCGATATTTGTCCGAAATATCGATTATGCTTATATTGTCACCTTTAATTGCCCTACAACCGATAAATAAAAACAATATCTAAAATATTTTCGTTTATTTGAAATTGTACAATCAATCCCTATAGACATCAAACGAAAATATGAAACACGATACTACACTTTGATACGCATCCCAGCGAATTTTCGATTGTTAATTTGCCGAATAGCAGAAAAAGAATAGCGTGAAACACCATAGGAAAGAAAAGTATCAAAACTATAAAGTCTTGAATAGAAAATTTCATAAATTCTTTGTCGAAAATTGAAACTAACGGAGAGAACTTTTGGTATCGAAAAAATTGTTAGTAAGTTTTTGGCAGTTTGATATTAATTTGATATAAAAAAAAAAAATATATAAAAAAAATGAAACAATGAAATGTTTATTTGTTGATTTACATAAACAAGCTAAACTAAAGTCGAGCAGTCTGAGTTAATAAGTTATTTATATAAATTTACTCAAACCAGATTTAAAGCGTAAGATTGACTCTTCTTAAATTAAAATGAAATGAAATGCCAAAAAGTATTTTTACTTTTCATATATTGCTTATTGATTAAATAATAAACAATTTTGCCTCAATGGTAGTAAGGTGATGTTAACCCTCTTGAATAGCAACATTACCGGGGGATGAATACATACACACATGAATAAACCCAAACGGTAGATATAAAAAAAGTATAAAGAATTTTGAAAAATTCAAACAATGACAAGCTATGAAAGCTTCGCTCTATTTATCGGCACCTTATGGATTTTTGTTTGAAGCAATGTCCAAAAACCATCCTTTTTTTCTTTTCCAAATTTCAGGTTAATTTCGAAGCAGGAAAAAATTGAAATTAAATTTATTTTTTCAAACGGAGGCTGGGCAAACAGACAAACATATACTTTGCTACTTTTCGGAATCGTATTTTTAAGCATTGCAAACATTTTATCAACGACCAAGCCGAACTCAAAATTACTATAATAAAAGTCAAAAGATTTTGATGAATTTAGTTTCTTTTCCGCTTTCATTTTGTAACTACCGTTAATCCACTGTCTCAAGTTTCTAATGCTGTTTCTTAGTTATAAGTCAATTTCTTTGCTGGATAATTAAAAAACATTCCGAAAGACATAAATAGGCACAAATCTTTACGTATTGCTTTACTCAAAGCTGCACACAGAATTGAAACGATTAAGAATACAATCTGCTTTTCTTAATATATAACATAATATACAGGTGTATATGCATTAATAACATATTTGAGAAAGGGCAGACCTCTACATACGGTTTCGCATTCTTCCCACAACAAAAATGTCATCCAATTTAAATCGGTTCAACTTTATCAGCTGTTTTATTAAAAACAGCTGCTTCTCAATAGCAATAAGAAATCTTCTCAATAGCCTCAGAAAAATTTTTTAAATTATTTAAGCACTAAAAAAAGAGTCTTGAGTTGCATATGATAAGTTCAATTAATTTTATTTAATTAGAAACAAAAAAAAACTCGTTTGAAAATGATCGCTTTGAAAATACACTACAAAACTCGAAACTTAAATATCTGCTATTCTTCTCGTTTCAGCACTTCCCAATCGAGATGGCAAAGAAAACTTCTATGAAATCTTATGTGATCGCTGAAAGTAACAATACAACGAAAACCACTTGTCAATCAAAAGAAAACCAATGAAAAGTTTATGTTTTTAATAAAAAATATAGAAATGCCGTACGCTGTGGTAAGCGAAACAAAAGCACACAATCGCATACGCATACATTCACATGGGTGTAGAGAATGAGAATGAGGTCAATGTATGCAATGTATGCAATGTATGCATTATACGAAAGAAAATTGCGAAGAAGTACGCCACGCCCCTACAAATGAATTAGATGCTAAATTTACTTAAAAATGTCTTCAGTTTAAAACATATAATCCTGTTTTTTTCTCTTTTGCTCATTCTTACTAAAATATTATACGCTTACTTACCGAACTTCTCTTCTGTCTGACCATCATCAGCAGGCAATTCTAATTGATCCATGTTGTTTTTTTTTTTTTTTTTTTTTTTTTTTGAATATTTTTTAATACTTTTACACTTTTTTTTATTATTTGTTTTCTTTAAACAATTTTATTGTTTTTCACTTTAGGAAATGGTAAAACTGCATTTACTTTTTTTTTTTTTTTTGTTTCACAAAATCTTTACTGGGTTTCAAAAGTTCTTCATAAAGTTTACACAGGAACAAAAAAAAAAAAACTGCACACAAATAATTTTCATTTCTTCTTATTTTTGCGAAATAGTGTTGCCAAGATTCGAATTCACCTCAACCTAATTATGACGTTTTTTCAATAGCGAATAGCAAAAGTGCAACGGCATAAACGAAAATAGACAGAATATTATTTTTGAACTCAATATTCTGATTTATATTAGTAATTGAAACTTTTCACATCATATAAAAGCAACTCGCATATACGTCAGTTATGCAAGTTGCATTGCGTAAAACAGCTGTTTATCTTCACAGCAGGTGATTACATTTATTCGCATAACAGATGAAAAGAAAGTAACTAAGTATACTTGTTTCCATTGCTTTTTGTTGTCTATAATAAACGTATAATGTGACCTACTCCTACTCGTCTTATTTGAATACAAAGGAAAAAATGATTTATCTACAATCTTATTCATCATTTGCTTAGCAAATTATGCTATCGATTACCTTTTACATTGATAGAGTTGCCTACATTTTACAGTTAAATAAACAAGAATATTGTTGACTTTAGGAAGCTAATGGTAACCATCGCATTGATAACGTCATTGGGTTTGTTGATATTTTTAATGCATTTTGTAAAATGTAATAAATATATTTTTGGAGTGCAAAAAATTAATAATGATAAATTAAAAATAAATAGTTTCAAATTGTTACAAGTTGCATATGTTCTTAGATGCGCATATAAATAACGAATTAAGGATTTATTAATTTTTGAATTCTAGTCAAAGTTTTAGGTTTGTTTACATAATTTCAACACAAAAAAGTTCTTTAATTATATTTTAAATGAAACTAGGAATCAATCGAAGTATGGATATACCGATACATGCTTTAACCCAAAACCCCACTGCTGCTTGGAAAGAACTTTCGAAAACACAACGTGTTATTAAAGTTACCATGAAACCACCGCAGGCGGGAGTGGCTTTTAACAAAGCTCGCGTGGTTTGTATGAGCGATACGCACTCACTGACTCCGTATGTTAAATTCGATATACCTGCCGGTGATATATTCATTCATGCCGGCGACTTTACGAAATGCGGTCTACTTAAAGAGGTAGAAGAGTTTAATAATTGGATTGGTACCTTGCCTCATCGTTATAAAATAGTTATTGCCGGTAATCATGAATTAAGTTTCGATCAAAATTTTACGCACCCATTTCAAAATCAGACGCATACTGAAAGGTATATTTGTCATACTGCCTAAAGAAATGAAAACTTTTTAATTGTGTGTAAAAATTATTTTATAGAACCAAACATACCGGTATGTCTATATTGGATGATCTCCCAACCTTAGGAAACGCGAAAGAGGATATTGTTGAGGCGGTACAAACATCTAATATACGTGATGTTCTTACCAATTGCACATATGTACAGGACGAACTATTGGAAATCTGGGGTATACGCATTTATGGCACTCCTTGGCAACCGGAATTTTGTAATTGGGCTTTTAATATTCCACGTGGCCAACCCTGTTTAGATAAATGGAACCAAATACCCGACGATATAGATATATTAATTACTCACACGCCACCCTTGGGTCATGGCGATCTATGTTGCTCGGGTGTACGAGCCGGCTGCGTGGAATTGTTAAATAGCATACAAAAACGTATTAAACCAAAATATCATGTATTTGGTCACATACATGAAGGTTATGGTATCACTTCAGATGGCCGTGTTATTTATGTAAATGCTTCTACATGTGATATCAATTATTTACCTAACAATCCGCCGATAGTGTTTGATGTAGCCTTACCGCCTGGAATTCGTAAAGATTAAAATCTTAGAACAGAATACATTTCGTAAAGTGCTGATCCTTAAATAGTTTATATTATAACATTTATAAACTAATTTAATCTCGTTTTCCCGCCTAAATAACCCGCGTGTAACCGTACTTTCGTATGAGAATCCTTACAGACATCAACCAATTCTATTAGCGTTTATTAAACGGCATGTAAAAGTAATGGATCCGAATGTATTCTTAATATTGATAAAAAAAGATTTCCCTGAAATTTGATAAATCGGTATTGTCGATACATCCGAGTATTCGTCAAACGTCGCATTTACAAACTAATTTAATTTCATTTGTAGAAAAAGTACTCATATGGATTATGACATATATATATATATATATATATATATATATGCACGAATATATATATACACATTCATGTACACATTGAGAGACACACACGTACGTCAATCAGAAATTTGATGCTAACATTTATGACAGTTATCTGGAATTTGCTTGCAAACATAGCATAACAATTTGGGTAATTAATAAGCAAGATTCGCCCTAAGGCGAATATAAGATTTTTAATTTTAGATACATTTTATTTCATTGAATAGCAAAATTTTTTTTATTTATTTTTACGTAAAATAACATAAACTTCTTTGTGATGAGCTCATGGGCGGATACGGATGTGCTGAAATTTCCAAAGTTTGAATTTATTTATTAATCTTATATTTTCTATATAACATACATATTTTGCAAATCTTTTTTTTTATAGTTTAATATAAATCAAAAACATTTTGTTTGATTTATTGGTATTGTTATAAGATAATTCATATTTTAGAAATTACATATAAGGAAAACAGTCAATAAATGTTATAAATGCGTATACAATACAATACAATGATGAAATTAAGTTACTGTATATATTTTGTTTTGAACGACTTAGTGAAAATGTAATGGACGCTGCTTTCATATAAGGAAATCATTAAAAGGATTGCTATTATTTGGGAAAAAGTGGCAGCGCTATCGCCACCATCTTCCATTAATTGTAAAATGCAACTTCCAATATCCACCACTAAGTTAAAAAAAAATCATCATTAAAATAAACGAAGTCACAATCTCTCTTGTTTTGCCTATGATTCTCTTTCTCCCTTGCGATGGAGAGAACTCTCCACAAAAAATGTAACGGCATGTCGGTTAGCAAAGCACTCCACTACTAGTTAACGGTGTGAGCAATTAAGAAGTATAAGGTTACGATCATATAGGCACATCACTGTCGTTATTAAGTTTATTACTGCCGCTGTTTGTTTAATTCTAATTGTTGTGTTAAGTTTTACTTCTTAATTTAAGAAAAGGGAAATTGTTCAAGCGTTTAACACAGATTTTATAAATTAAATAAAATGGTAAGTAAGAAAACTTAAATCTTTCGAAAGTGAGGTTAAATTCGTTTTATTATTTAATAAGGGTTGTGCGGTGCCATTCAAGACTTGTTGCAAAAATTCCTTACATTTACTTAATGCGCTTTATAAAAATCAAATTATCAAAATTGATAATTGATCAAATTGATCAAAGAAAACGTATTAAATTCTTTCGAAATCGGTACAAACTATTCTCTAGTTCCGATCTTTTCATTGTCAATAATCCGGTATATTTTTTAAGGTCTTGTTAGTAATCTACAAAATGGCGTTGCCAAAAGTGTACAAATGGCATAATGAAATTCCATCTTTTTGTTCTAAGTGTAAGTACAAATGGGCACTGGTGGAATCTTTGTCATCGATTGCAAGCATTCCTAGAAACATAAAGTATTGCTTATCGCCACAAAAACATATTCCTCCATTACTTATATATTCTTTTACTGTGTTGATGCCAGTTTTCTTTTTTCTAACCTTTTACCATGTTGTTCTTCTTTCGCTTAACAATTGCAGCGCGAAGTAATTTCCATACAGATCGGTCAGGCTGGTGTACAAATCGGTAATGCCTGTTGGGAATTGTATCTGCTTGAACATGGCATTAATCCAGATGGCAGCATGAAAAGTAAGGAGGATATTCTGGCAAGTGGAATTACTTCGACTGACGTGAAAGGTGACGGTTCTGATGCTCGCACCTTTTTTTCTGAGACCAGCTCCGGTAAACAAGTTCCACGCTCCATATTTATTGATTTGGAGCCGACGGTAATTGATGATGTACGAAATGGGTCGTTACGTAATCTTTATCATCCCGAACAAATGATTTCGGGTAAGGAAGATGCTGCCAATAATTACGCTCGTGGCCATTATTCCATTGGGAAAGAAATTATTGATAATGTAACAACACGAATACTGAAAATATCTGAACAATGTGATGGTTTGCAGGGATTTTTGATATTTCACAGTTTAGGCGGCGGTACTGGTTCAGGTTTCACTTCTCTACTAATAGAGCGCTTAACTAGCGATTATAGTAAAAAATGTAAATTGGATTTCGCTGTCTATCCGTCACCAAAAATTTCGACAGCTGTCGTTGAGCCATACAATGCTTTACTAAACACCCATTCGACTTTGGAACATTCGGATTGCGTTTTTATGGTAGATAATGAGGCTATTTATGAGATTTGTAAAAATAGTTTACACGTGGATCGTCCGGGCTATCGAAATCTAAATCGCCTTATAGCTCAAATTGTTAGTTCGACTACCGCCTCTTTGCGTTTTAGTGGTTCAATGAATGTCGATTTAAATGAATTTCAAACTAATTTGGTTCCCTTTCCTCGCATACATTTTCCATTGGTGGCTTATGCTCCGCTTGTGTCAGCCGCTCGTGCTTCACACGAACAGCACGCCATTCCCACTTTAACTAATGCCTGTTTCGAGTCCAGCAACATGATGGTGAAATGTGATCCGCGAGCCGGAAAGTATATGGCCTGTTGTATGCTGTACAGGGGCGACGTAGTACCGAAGGATGTGAACGCTGCCGTAGCAGCCATTAAATCCAAACGTCATATACAGTTTGTGGACTGGTGTCCCACTGGCTTTAAAATAGGCATTAATTATGAACGCCCAGCATGCGTACCGGACGGTGATTTGGCGCAAACGTCACGTGCTGTTTGCATGCTCTCCAATACCACGGCCATTTCTGTGGCCTTCAGTAATTTGTGCCATAAATTTGATTTAATGTTCAAGAAGCGAGCATTTGTGCATTGGTACGTTGGAGAAGGCATGGAAGAGGGCGAATTCGGCGAAGCACGCGAAGATCTGGCTGCACTGGAGAAGGACTTTGAAGAGGTCGGTACCGATGAAACCGAACCAGGCGTCGACGATGACGAGTATTAGAAACATAAATTTCATGCTGATTAATTAATGGCTTGCGGCTATTGTTGAATTTTGAGTTAAATACAAGTTACGAATAAAAAAAAAAAGAAAATAACAAAAAATGTATTTAAAATCAAATATTTATTCATTTTCCGCAATTGTTGTACAAATTGTTGTTGTCGAGAAGCGGCTACGAATACTGGCGAAGAGAGATTGTAGTTTATCTGAACCTTAGAAAATATCACTGTATCCTATACAATAATTAGTTTTGAAATATATATAAAAAATGCAAAGCTTTTAGTCATTTTTGCGTCTAATTTTTATGAAAATTACCGCACGCCTCTGCTGAGATTCATATATCAAAGATTTATGGAATCGCTTTTTGCGGAAATCATACTTTTTTTTTTTGTCAACTTTAGATGACACGATGTGATCAGATTTCTTAAGAATGAAATTTTTCTCAAATATAATGCGGATTGTATCCAACACACATTGGCCGCTATGGCCATTGCAAGTTCAACTCGAGCCAGCCATCATAAAACTTGCAACTAAGATTATTTAAGCCTAGAAAACTTTGGAAGTTTATGCTCCAACTTTTTCCATATTAAGATTAATTAAATGCTTTGTTCTTCCACTCATATCGTACGTCGCGTATGTATATGACAAGTTGTCGGAATTAAGTCGGCCAGATATGTCGTCAGCAAGTGGTGATATGATAGAATATCGTAATTTTTATTACTAATATTGGTTCCCGAACTCCGCAAGTTTACGCGGACGAGAACACCAAGATCTTTACATGAGCAAATTCACTTTGCGAAATTTGAACGGACAATGAATTTATCCTATCTGGCCGTAAGTACTTACCATTACTTAACATCACGCTGTAAAATTATGGACCTCGTTACGACTTCCCACCAAAATACTAGTTAGCCCGAAGAGCTATAAAATCTTTTTCTAACCTTTAAGTCGCATCAATATTTTGCATCAATTTTATCAGTAATGATTATGATATATCAGTAATGATGATTAGTGTATAATTAAATATTATTAAATGAGATAAATATTATTTTTAATGAATAAATTAAACTAAATAATCTTTTTCCGAAAATGTTCCTGTAAGAGAGAGAGAGAGAGCTTAGATGGCCATAGAATTATTAGGTTCTATTAGAATTGATACAAAAACACTCCGTCTGGTGCCTATCCACGTATTAGGCAGTCCAGAAATTTCTTGCGTTTTTTCACTAGCAAATAAAATCATTCTCGATCAGCTTCAAATTCAAAGTCGATCTAAGTAGGTCCGTCTGTCCGTCTGTGCAATGCCGGCTGTTAACATTCCCCTGGAACACTGCAAGTTCTGGCATGTAGGTTGGCCTTGAAAACGAGCGAAATCGGTCGAAAGACACGCCCACAGCCCACAGTAAACTAAGAACATTTCGGTTTTTCAAAGGAAATGAAAAATTGGTTTTTTGCTCATTACCGGTAATTTGTAGCAGATAAATGTATAAAACTTCGAACGGATATTCTATGGGTAAAACTGTAGCATTTATGCACAAAAATTAAAAAAAAAAAAAGATGACCGCTCCTACCCAATGTTATGGTGTATCAAAATTTAATTGTTTTTTCAATAACTTGATGACACGCAGAAACAATCTTCAAAAACCCCATATAGTATACAAATTCTTGGCCAGTTTTATATCTTGAATGCACCTAAACATGTCCACCTGTTCGTCTGTCCATGTGTGCATTTGCGCAATTTTCTAGTATTTGTAATAAACATTCTCCCGTTAGCTAAAGCTTACAAAAGAATTTAGAATTGGCCTAAGCCTTTCCATGGACACGTTTATAACGCACATATATTTCTACGACAAAGCCCTTTATGTTGAAAATAGAAGAAATCAGTTGCGCACATTTCATATTATAGAATATGAAAACTTTGTTCTTTTACTTCTTTTGTCTTTCTCTAGGGTAAACGGTGATGGGTATAAGAGGTTCTGGCTCAACGTAATTTAATTTTCTTATTTATTTTATATATAAAGTGTACATTTCATTAAATTATATATTTGGCATTTAGTTCGGGCAATTTCATTACCCTCTTCCCACAAAATTTCTGACATTTGGAAGCCAAAAAAAATATTCTATATATAAATTGACTCTGTCATCTGAATTGAAAGTTTTGCCAAATAAAGAATTTTGCGGAGAACGAAAGAGATGGCAAAATGTGATGGTAATGCATCTCAAACAAGCTCTAATAATATTTAGCGGGTAAGGGAACAACAACAAGTATGGAATCTTGCATTATCGTAATAAAAAACGATATTGTTTTCTTAGTTGACAAATTCTGGACGTTTCTGCTGCACGATACTTCATTGAATTTTGTTACGCGTTCATAGCATACTTCAGAATTAATTGATTTTGTTACGCGACAGAAGCCTTGCCTTTATAATACCAACATACTGATCGTTAAACCTTCCTTTTTATCGATATCCCGTTCTGTTCGTGTTGTTGTTTAAGATCGCGTTACTCGTTTTTGTGTAGCATCCATTTATCATTACTACCCGTTACAATTCTCTTGAGATATGGGCCTTGGTTTGGTTTGGTTAAAACATTGCCAACATTAATGCGTCGCGTTAAATGAATTCCAATCGTCCAGCTTTTTAATAAATCCCAGTCTTTTTTGTGCACTAACCAATCACTAACAGATTTTTTGAATAAATTAAGTTTCTCTTCAATCTAGCGAATCGTTATGTGTCGACCGGCTTTAATAACAGCCTTTAGCCGGTCGTCATCAGCGATATTTGGCCTACCAAAATGCGGTAAAGCGTTCACTGAAAAATTTGCGGAAAGAAACCAATCGGAAAGCAATTTTGTCAAGTGAGTGTGCTTCTGCAGCTGTGTTACCTTGTGTTTGAACTAAAAAACTATAATCTGTTTTATTCGCGCACTTCGATCTTTCATTGGAGAAAATTACGTGTGACTATATTATAACACAACCGGTCACTTTGAAAGTGTCTTTTACATAAGCCTGCTCTAAATAACTATGTGCACCTGTATCCCTAATTGTCTGCCTAGCTACCTGAAAGAAATTATTTGAAACTGGTATCGGGAATAACGGCAAAAATTTTATGGGTAAGAAATATATGATATGCGAAAAGCTTAAGGACCCTCACGTTTGCCACTTCAGTCATTGCTGTATCATTGGCATTTTGAAAATGGCAATGGATCAAGTTGTAAAACGGACTTGATGTCCTTATAAGCGATGTGAAAATAGACAGATTAGCTTCAAAAAGTAATTAAGTGAGAAGATTGTGAGAAAGTTTGAACGAACCAAAATACTATATATATATCTTGGGCCACATTAAAATTCAGTCAAAGTCATTTTAAATTTGTTCGTCTTGCAGTGCCTATTGCCGCAAACACTGCGGATAGAAAATTGGTATAAATTATCTTGTTTGATAATAAAAAATCAAGCTGAAGATCAAGTTCCCATTGAAACAATCGGTGAACAGTAGAGCGTTGCGATATACTAAACGAATGGACAGGATGGGACCACCGCCTAAAGGGCACGAAAGCCCTCGTTGTCCTTAATGCCCTTATGATTCTAAATTTGATTGATAAGTAAAACTAAATTGTTATTGGACCATTCAGAACTACATTGCTGTTGTTTGCGAGCACTATATGTAAGTCGAATAGAGTTATCTTATGGGTGAAAAAAAATTTTTTGTTTTTTTTTCTATTTTTTTTTTCTATTTGTTATAATAAAATTCTTCCATTTTTTTTTTTTTTTTTTATGGCTTCTTGCTATTTATTTGGTTTTTCCATTAGAAATAGTTCTTTATTTAATCATTTTTTAATTTTATTTATTTAAGTTTGTTTTTTTTTTTAAGAATTATTTTATGTAGACTTAACTAAAACAAATTATTTATTTTATATTTTTTCTATTCAATAATGATTCAATATTAGTTTTATATAAAAATAGTTGTTGTTGGTGTTGTAGTGGGAAATTTTGTTTTTAGTTTTCAAAATATGATTCAAAGCGTAACCTGCAATTTATTTATTTATTTATTTTTTGTTTTCGTTTTATTTATTTATTTTTTTTTTTTGAAAATTGAAAACCTTTCCTTGTCTTTGAATTACAATTTAGCTAAATTTAAACAATATTTTATTTAAAATATGGCAAAATGAGGACAAAAAAAAAGTATATCTATATATATTGTCTATATATAGTTATATAGTTATATATTTATATATATATATATCACATCATCATACACACATATATATATATATGTAGACAATTATATATATATATATATATATATATATAGACAATTATTATCAATAAAAAGGAGAAAAAGGATACGTGTGTATGTCGAAAGGAAAATTTTGTTTGTTTCGTATATCCAATTACAAATATAAAGTGTGGCCAGAACTACATATTTGTAGTACAGCAAGTTTCTAATGATTGGCTGGTTTTCGTGCCGTGAAAAAAGTAGAAAGAAAAAAAACGAAGTTATTATAAGACATCATTAGGTTGAGATAAAAACTAATTGATTAATTAATATAAAGTATTGAGGTGTATGTATGTATGTAGTTACATGCGTACGTCTATATAGGTATGGTATTAATCTTTAATATGGAACATTGGAGAAGAGATATGAGACACTTTCGCCATTATGTGTTCTTCTCACTGCCTCTGCGAACATTATCGAAACGTCAATGCACTAAAAAGAAGAAGAAGAAGATAAAAACAATTTTAAAAAGAGAATTGATTATGAAAAATTTTATTTGCCGCTAACTTGAATTTTAGGACAGTCTCGCATATGGCCGTCTTGTGGTATGGTATTAGTAACCACTACCGCCTCAAAGCAAGCATTGTTTATACGTGAAATAGCTGGTCCACTGAAGATTCCATGGGTTAAGATCGCGTAAACCTAAAAACATAAGCATATAGCGTAAGTTTTCATCTTAATTATTATTATTATTATTATTATTTTTTATTTTTTTATTTTTTTTGCAATATTTTTATTACCTTTGTAGCTCCTGCTTCGACTAGACGATCAGCGGCATGCACAATAGTGCCACAGGTGTCGGCCATGTCATCAACCAATATGGCTATCTTATCTTTGACATCTCCCACCAGTACCATTGAAGCGACTTCGTTAGCTTTTTTCCTCTCTTTATGAATTAAAGCGAATTCCACGTTTAAGCGATCAGCAATAGACGTCACTCTGCAAAAACGGTGACGACAGGCGTTTATTGATATTATTCGGATAAATTTGACTTTTCGATATGAAAAAAGCTACAAAAAAGGAACGCGAAGAGTCTGCAAAAAGCAAATAACTACATTTTTTAGTTTGGTAAGATTGGAAGCTGGCGTAGATCGGGTCATAAGAGCGTAAATGCCTAAGGTAGCCGGATTCGTTTAGGTCATAGACAATTGGTTAATTGTGAGGCCACCTGAACCGAAATGAGAAAAATATATGAGATTTATTTTGATCGCCGATAAACCGATACAGATCGAAACACGACACACATTACATAAGATGTATGATGGATAAGGTAACATCTCTAAAAAGTGTCCAGTGGTATATATAAAACCTTAACAAAAATGAAATTTTATTTAAATTCAAGGGAATTAATTTTACACTATATATATATATATATATTTATATATAT